TATCTAGGATCGAGTCGCGAATAAGGCTAAGAGCCGTGTATTGCATTCGCCCCTGACAAGGGTCACGGAAGGCACGACATCAGTCGGACAAGGAGAACATATGAATTAAAGTGCGGGGCACTCTCCGGAGATTGGTGTAGACATGTGCGTCGCACGATGGCAATCCTACAAGGGATCAGGCCTTGTATGGGTGTAAATACCTTATGTTCCAGTCTGGTAGACTGTGCCGCTATTTGCGGTAGTATGTCGGAGCCGTACAGTGCCATTGTTTATTGACTCGTGTCTGTGGTAAGGACCTTGTGCGTTGGCTAACGGTTCTGATACTGATGAATCCTCATAGTGTCGTTGACATGGTGTGGACGAGGGACACGTGCCGTGTTCTCCTTATCGGTTGTTTTTCGGATAAGTCGTTGGCGACGTTCCTTAATGTATTTCCGGTTTGCTTTGAAACGGATGTGGTGAAGCTTGTCACGATTGACGCGCGTGAACTTGCGACGAAGTCCATGTTCATCCCGGAGAGTCTTCTTGATCTCTACGCGGGACTCACGTTCTCTGTCCATGACGACCGGTCATGGATGCTGGGTAACCTACGTCTGGTTCAGAACGATGGTTACTCCGTCTGCTGTCTTGGGCAGCCTTGGTAGTTCATTTCCAATGAATCTACGAAGTTACTTCCTGTGGTAGGAAGACGATAGCTGGATCGCGTTTGTTATCTTTTTTTAAGAGTTGGCTTCCTTCGAGAAGTCCAATTGTCTAGATATCCAGTTCTTTATTGAGGAAGCCTTGGTAGTGTTGATTTCAATCCTGACTTCTTGGAGTCTTTGGGGAAAGGTCATCCTACTGTTCAACGCGATCTGCGAGGTCGACGTTCGTAGGATGAGTGATCGTCAAGTATGCACGGACATTTTCTAAGTCATGCATGCGTCCTTCATCTTCCTTTGGAAGGTTTCGGGACTATTACATAGGCCCATTGGCACCCTCTGGTACTCTACTTTCCCCATGGGAGTGCGATGGTCAGAGTTGTTTCGAGTGAGGTGACAGCTCGATGTGATAGTATCCATTTTAGGTCTAGATTAGTAGCGTATTGAATCCGTCTAGATTCAAGAGCATGTCCTGTATTTTTGGGATAGATAAGCTCCGCTTATCCTTTTGTTTCAGTTCCCGGAAATCAGAGAATGAATCGTGCAGATCCATCTTTCTTGGGATGATGAAAGTTGGTGCCGCCCACTGGGAACGATTTACTTTCTTGAGTGCTCCTGTCTCGCAGAGACGTTCAACCTCCTTCTTAAGAGTGTTGGTGTGGACTCGTGGAGTAGGGTGAGCCTAGTGTAATAGGATTTAACGTCGGGACGAAGTTCTACTTCGTAGTCGTCCATTCGCAACTCTCCTAAGGTGTCTCGACTGGGTCCAAGCACTTGTTGAAAAGGCATGAGCATTCTTGCTCTTCCTTGTTTAGCGATTTCGACTCTGGCATATCTGCTTAAGCCTATTTGTTCGTTGTCGTATCAAGACTCTTCTTGAGACTATCTGCGTTGTCGCTGACAGCCGCAGAATCGGAAATGGAGAAGTTCTCCTTTTCCATTGGTGTTGCTCTTTTTCGCCGGGAAAAATGCATGGTTCCACCCCAATGACATGGTAGTGAATCAAACTTGATTCTTAGATCGCAGAGTGTCTGACCTATGATCACGTTCTTGCCCCCCAAGTTTTGGTGACGTGTAAATTCCACTTGATAATTCTACATCGTGGAACTCGGAATCGCGAGTGTGCCCTTACTTTCGTGCGGGGTCTCAATTCCTTCATAGAGCAGTCCGTAATGTTTTGACCCCCCATGATTCTTCATGAGTAAACTCTTAGCATGAGTTTGAGCAATGAAGTCCGGATGCTTCTTATCCAGTAAGCAACAGAGTGTAACGGGTTTCGTTTCCCTTTCGCTCTTTGTTAAATCTACATAGACGATAGTTTCAGTCTCTTGTCGTGCGACGTTGATGAGTTGATTGGCCATGGACGAAGTTAACGATGCCGAAAGATCGTCAGTATCATTTGAGTCAGTTACTAGGCATTATCTAATTTGCCGTAGATTCATTAGTTGCAAACAAATCTTGTTTACTATTTAGTGAGATATCTTCATCATCTTAGGTATGAGAAATCGGAACATGGTTCCGTTAATCATCATCCTGGCCTAATCTTCAGACGGAGATCTCTCCATCCGAATGATTGAAGTCGAATTCGGCAAGCGCCTTGTCGACAGCGGCCATTTTCTTGTCCTCATGTTGATGGATCCAACAGAGGAGTCGTCCTTGTTGTCGGAGTGTCAGACTTGCGCTTAGCAACATGGTTGCATTCGCTTTTCTTCTTGCATCAGCTTTGACCGCAGCGTTGGAACTTCTTCATGAGGACAGAGAGTTCCTTCTTTGGGTAGGTCTTGGCGTCGTCGGACTTGCGTTTCCAATCTTCTTCTTGTTGTACGTTGGCTTGTTATCGTTGTCAGACGAGGGCTGAGACTTGGCCTTGAGCTTCTTCAGAGTCATGCAGTCAGCCGTTTTGTGAGTGTGGACTCGTGGTAGTCGCCACCATTTTTCTTCGATAGTCTAAAATGCACTACGCTAAAAGCTAGTGTAAAGATCTTTCGAGTGTTTTGAGTTTGAGAGAATGAAAGTTATAAGAGAGATTAGAAAGCTATGAAAACTAATCAACGAGAGAGATCCACAATCAAAGGATCGTAGATCTGAACTCCCGCGGGAGACTGTAGAGTGAGATAGAGTAGGTTGCGGTAGCAATCCTACTCGCTCCACGATCCAAAAACGGAACGCGTGGAAGATTCGTCTAGCATTTATCTAGCAGCGTGGAAGTACTCCACGCTGGCTAAATATCTAGAGCGATGTTTCATCATCAACCTAGTATGACTAGAGCGGTCATTGAGAATTCTGTCTCCAATGACTATTCGCGAAGGTCTACGTCATGAGTCGAACTCAGACCCTATCTAGGATCGAGTCGCGAATAAGGCTAGGAGCCGTGTATTGCATTGGCTAAGAGCCGTGTATTGCATCAGGGCTGGGGGTAGTCCCCTGTGATTTAATCGTTCTGCCTGGTGATCCAACCACTTAACGCCTTGCCGCCTTGGTTTATCATGGTCTTTGATCCCACAATGTACTTAAAGAGGCTGTGGACAGATCCCGACGCCCATCTAATGCGGTATACTTGGTGCATGCCACTGACGGAATTGGTTTCTGCAAGTTTCTGGTTGGTACCTTTCCTTGTATGGTAGCTGCTCAGCTTGTCTCTGATGAGCTCCTCTAACATTTCAAATTCGGTGGAGAGACCATGAAAGCATTTGTCCCAGAAGGCAGAGACTCGGGCTTTGCTCTTGGGCTTTGCTTTTATCCTTGTCGTTCTTGTCAATGTTAACGACAGCTGCCTCCTTAGGGAACTTGGGAAAGAGGGATTTGTTGAAACCGCAGATGAGGCTGAAGTAGGGACCTTCCTGAATGGAGTCTCTGTGAGGGTAGAGGTTAAGTTCCTGGAGAGGGCCATCCTTGTCGCGTTGAATCGTGGCACATATCACGTCATAGGTCTGCAGGTTGTCGTTGGTGTTGACGATGTTGATGTCCTCTGGCTTCAGCGTGGAAATTTCGCGGCCTCGCCCCAATAGATGGTATGCGAAGATGTTAACGCCTTGGAATTCAGCAGCTTCGACAGAGGCAAGCCAGAAGGAGGTGTTCGCAAGAGCTTTCCTGTCAAGATCTGTGGAGGCAATGCGAGGATTCGTAATTCTCTCACCCGTTTGGTTGGAACGCTGTCTGTACTTGCTGTTCTGCTTGTTGCGGAGTCTTGTCCAGGCACCGCCTTTCTCAAGGACGGTGAGGGGAGGCTTACCACGGAACCTGTTTTGAACAAGGGATTTGATTGCACTGGCATAGCCCGTGGCTGTTCCGTAGGCGATGAGGGGCGCGTCTTCTCGCAGACCTTTGCGCGCATCATGGGTTAGTAGGTACTTGAAGAAACAGCCGAACAAGTTGTCCCAGAACTCTTGGTAACTGGAGCCACATGCAAGGCCGGAGTAGGGAATTTCATCGAGGGTAGTTGCAGGCCAGCTCCTTGCTTTACAATAGCTTTTCAGGAAATGGTTGAAGTGCTTGACGGCGGAGGGAGTCTTGTTGCTTTCGCATTTCATGTCCCTGAGCTCCTCACACTGAGCCCTGTCCTCGGCCTCAGTGATGATGGTGGTGGTAAAATTGTCCAAATCTTCTTCCATGATGTTTGTTCGACTTAAAAGGGGGAGAGAGGGGGTGCTGCCCTGGGCGCGAGGACTCAGGTTGTTGAGGTCTCCATTCCAGCACTGGGTTGCCGGTACTGGTGTTTTCTCTAGCATTGGTGGGATTCAGAAAAGAGGGTTCACCGTGCGGAAGATGGTTACTTAGGCTAAATTTCATGTGCATGGGGTTACTTAGGGAACTCAGGAGGTCGGGGTGGTGGTCCTTTTTTGGGTGTTTTTAGCGCTTTCCAGGTGGCAAAAACTGACTAACATTGGTTGAAAGTGGTAAACCATTCAAGCATGGGGTGCAAGGTGGTTCGGGAAATAGTGAGTTGATTTGACCACCCCCCAGACTCCCCCCAGCTACAATCAGTACCGCCACCGGTGCTACGTGCTACGTAGCCCAGCAGCTGGCCAGCTTAAAAAAAGGAAGTAAAAAGAAATGGGTCTCTCGCAACTAGCAGAGCGTCACTTACAAACCCTTGAAGATGGGCATCCGGGAGGATGGAACGAATTACCACGACTAGTACAGTCTACCAATAGCTACTAGCTATTAATAGCTAGTAAACCGAGTTTAGTCGTTTGTTTTTGGACCGAGTTCTTTTGAGTTTGTCTCAGTATTGATTGTTGTGGCAGGTTCCCAAAAGCCAAGAAGTGAGCCTTGCTTGTGGGTTCTATTTTCATAAATGGGTAGCACGGTAGCACCACTTTCTGTACCTTGCAGCAAGCAATACCAAGTGCATGTATTGTATCAGTATTGACTAAAGTTTAAATCTATTTTCATTGGCGTACCGCAACTGCAATAATTCAATCATCTTGCCAAAAGTCATCACTGCAGCAATTGTTGGTGTTGGTGTCAAGTAGAATTTGTCAAGTCTCCCACCCTCAAACTGGCAACCAACTCGAAACTTGGAAGTGATGTGCCTGGGTATAACTTTTCTTGCAAGTGACACGAGCAAGTTAAAGCCCACTGGCGTATGAAACATTTTGATTTGTCGGAATGTCATTGGATAGGACCCATAAAAGTCCCCAAGAACAGTCCGAAACAGTTTCAAATCAATCATATCTGAATGCAAGCAGTATCCCTCGCACTCTCAAAAGAAAATGACCCCCTTCCGAGTTGCCTCTATATCTGGATTGAGCATACGGCACAAGTAATGAGCCATAAGCAGGGTTGTCTTCATCTTCTCCTGGGTTTTATACCCATGGAATCTGGGAGTATCAAACACTACCACCAATGCTTCATCTTCATCATTGAAGTAAGCTGAAAGAATTGCACCGGGCCAATACTCCATAATTTTGGTGAATGTGCGCCTGGCCTCTTCCAGTGAATCCTGGATTTTCAGATCCTCCTTGAGTTCCTGCATTACCCATACACGACGAATGGCCTCATCTACATCATGCTGGACAACTATGGCAAGCTGAGCACACATGAGATCAGAAACATTGTCGAGTTCTGCAGAGCTCTGGATGCGCTCCCTGATGGCCAATGCCCATTCTCGTTCTTGTTCTGTCAGCTGCATCCGCTTTGGGTCCAGCAGAGGGTTAGCTGGTAGAGGTACATGTAGTGGTGACAAGACACAAGCAGCAGCAGGGATCTCAGGTGCCGGTAGGAACTGCTGCTGTTGCTGCTGCTGTTGCTGCTGCTGTTGCTGCTGCTGTTGCTGCTGCTGTTGCTGCTGCTGCTGCTGCTGCTGCTGTTGCTGCTGCTGTTGGTCTAAAGGAACATTGCGTTGGCGGTTGTTGTTCCCTTGGAGTTGTCTGTTTGCGTTACTGTGTGGTTGTGCCATCCTATTGTTGTGAGTTGTGTGCTGTTGCTATCGACACAGCGTACTACTGTAGTACTCACTCATCAGTGTGTATTAGTGCAGCGTACTCACTCATCAGTGTGGATTAGTGCTGTAAAGCTCCTCATCTGCGACGGATGAATTCGCTGGAACGGTACAATGCATACGGTACGGTACATGCACAGCAGTCCAGGGGGGTGGAGGAAGACAATGCCAATTCCATTCCCACATGCTTCCGCACTCTGCAAAACCTCGGCTGTCCACTACGAGCTGTACTTGTTTACCACTGTAAATAATACCAGTGATACCACTGTTTACCACGTTTATTGCTGTCGCAGCTGGATTCGCCTTTTGGTTCATACTGCGGCATGTGAGACACTGGATTTCTCCAGCCCCCAGTATTCGGCTTTTTTTCAGCATCGTCTCCTGTTTCCTCAGTTTGCTTGCTACTTGGATCCTTATGACGAACACATGCACAACCGATATTGTCAATCCAGCCATTGTAGCCCGCTACCGTACAGGTACATCGGCGACAGTGTCAACAGTACCGAACACACTCAGGTTCCGCTTTACTTGCTACACTCCATTACTGGTACCTTGCATTGGATCCTTATGACGAATACATGCACAACCGAACATTGTCAATCCAGCCATCGTAGCCAGCTATCGTAGAGTTCATCGATCGGTGACAGTGGCAACAGTACCGAACACACTCAGGTTCGGCTTTGCTCGCTGCACTCGGTTACCTCGCATTGGATCCTTATGATGAATACACGCACAACCGAATATTGTCAATCCAGCCATTGTAGCCAGCTGCCGTATAGCTAGTGGCAACAGTACTTGACTTGCGCATACAGGAAAATGGGTACCGACACAGGAATCACCACCAAAACAGTAGGAAATAACAAGAAGGGATGAATCCGGTAGGAGGATCCACTCTCTTGTGTGTTGTCGAGCAGCTAGCCTTGCTGCTGTTCCCTTTCAATGAGTCGAGGACGATCCGTTCATGCTGTTGGTAGGGCTGGAGTTAACAGTTTCCTCCGTACACATACCTCCGTAGCGGTAGCCTCTTCTTCATCGTGTTATTCGGAGCGATCAATCGTTCGAAAAGGACTCGACAATGGTATTTCCTCGGCCGTCAGCAGTGCAGCAGAGAAAACAACAAATAGATATGAGTTTTGTTTTCTGTGCTCAACTGCAGACGACCGGAGACTTTCCATTGTTTTTCAAATTGCACCAACTTGGCCGTCATGGGCCGAGAACTGACTGCCATCCCACGGTCCATAGGATTCAATGAGGGATGGCTTTCGAATCTGCACCGGAGACGACCGGTTTGAGTGAGGCTTGACAATAGAGATAATAGAGGTGCGACCGACCGATCGATTCGAATAATTAAAGAACAACTCACCTGTTGACGGCCGAGCTTGGAATTCTCTCCTGAATACCATAGGAATTGAATGAGGGAGAGAAGTTAGCGCTGTACCTTCAATAACAGGCTTGATAATAGGCTTACCTCATTGCGATCGATCGATCGATGGATCGATCGGCCGATTGGATAAAGAACTCCTCCTACCGATACGTATTCGGATACCACTACCGGTACATACATGTGCAGGCAATCAGTTTATCCTTAACATTAGTAACTTCAACGGTTCTTTTATCCACGAATCGATCTAAATCTTTCGAAAGGGAACTTGTTACTTAACGATACACATGACCGTTGATTCTGCAACTGAAGTGCGGGTACACTAATTTACACAGTAAACGCGAGCCAATCGATTTCAGAGTGCAACTGAGGGGGTAACCAAAAGGTGCGTCGTCTCTGCAAGGTCACGAAACGTGACTAAAAACTTAGTTTCGCCGTTTTCTTAGTTTCACCGTTTCTTAGTTTCACCGAAATTCCCGATTTCCGTGAAACTAACTCATTATGTTGAAACTAACGGTGAAACTAACTCAGAAACGGTGAAACTAACTCAAAAACGGTGAAACTAACTCAAAAGCGTGAAACTAAGTACAATCCTGTCATAGTAAATCAATATAAACACGACTGAAACGGTGAAACTAACTAAAAATGGTGAAACTACCCCAAAAGCGTGAAACTACCCCAAAAGCGTGAAACTAACCCAAAAAGCGTGAAACTAACCCAAAAAGCGTGAAACTAACAAAAGCGTGAAACTAACAAAAGGGTGAAACTAACAAAAAGCGTGAAACTAACACCTTTTAAGTCCCGTTTCGGGACCTTGCAGGAGACGTAATAACCGTTAGTATCTCCATCCTTAAGGCTCATTGTCGTCGCCGTTGTTCGATGTTTGAGCTCAAGACCTCTGCAGCGACCCGAGCCGCATCCAGATCTCTGTCGCAGAAACAACACATCAATGCAGCCGCCATGATGCCTCTACAGATACTTCTATTGACTCTGCTCCTTGTCAGGAATGCAAATGGATTCGTTCCGCCAAAGTCAGTTCCATCCTCCTTGGCACGCAGCGATGGAATACCGAGGCAGATGTCTCCCTTGCTGCAGTTGACACCTGTGGATGTAAAGATTGGCATTTGGACAGCAGCCTTTTCCGCTTCCCACATTGGCATGTCGGCGATACGAAGGCAGTTGATTGATATCTGTGGCAACGTGGCAGGAACTGCGGGTCTTGTAAATCGGACCGATTGGAGACTTCCTGATATCTGGCCAGGAGATGCATCGGGAGGACAAGAGATTTTCCCCACAACCGATATTGCCGGGCGACAGTTGTATCGCTTGGGGTACACTGCCATTTCGTTTGCCACTCTGGGATCAGCCTTCTTGGCCTACTTGGAATCGCTGCAGCAACAACCACCGATGAACCATGATTCCACATGGTTTGTGTGGATTGCGACGGCCTCCTGGGCCGTTTCAATTGCATCACTTTTCAATCCATCACCGTTATCCTTGGTCCCAGTGTTTGTTGGCGAAGGCCAATCCAATATGAAAAACGAAGCTAGCAGTTTGATTGCTCGTAACGATGCACAAAAGCTGCAAGCAACTGGAATGACACGTATCACCAGGCATCCTCTGATCCTCCCTGTGGTTCCGTGGGGATTGGCGACTGCCATGAGCATGGGTGGACAAACCAGAGATTTCCTATTCTTTGGTGGATTGGCCATGTACGCCATTGCGGGATGTGCCGCTCAAGATCTTCGAGTGATCCGAGAAGAAGGATCGGTAGGAACCGTCTTTGCACCCGGGGCAACTTTGCAAGACTTTTTTGACGACACGTCCTTTTTGCCCTTTGGAGCCGTATTGGATGGAAGACAGTCCCTGTCCAGGATTGCCACGGAGGTGCCCTGGTGGGCGCTCGGTCTTGGCGTGGTGGTTGGATATAATCTGCAACTAGTCCTTTTGGATTGGCTTTTGCGGGTTGGTTGACACCGTGAGCTAAAATAAAACGGAGCTGGCTCTTTCAAGGAGGGAACGAGAGATAGCCGCCCCTTCCAGCCTTTGTTTGTTCTCGGGCTGCTATCACGTCGGCATCAGACAGCACTTTGAAGTGTGACCACAGCGTTCGAGACACCCCAACAGAGAAATCGACCGGAACTACCAAACAGCATTATTGAACTTGGAATTTGTCAACTTCTACGAAACCTCCTATTTATCCCCTTGGCAAGTTTGTTGGTGGCTACAGTGCTCAACATGATACTCGTTTTTCCGCGCCATCATCATCTTCTAAGTCTTTGCGGTCTTCTTGATCGCGGTCATTGCTCCAATTGGAAACAGAGCAGGACACGATGCTCTTGGCATTCTTAAAGTCAACAAAGTAGGTTTGGATCTCTCCCAATCCCTTGGCGTGGACCAGATCTTCTCGAGGCTCCAACCAATGTCCCTTTCCTTTGGATCGAAGTTCTTCCGCGGTAGCTTCGCTCACGTGAATGCGACCAGGGACACCCGTGGATTCCATTCTGGCGGCAAAATTCATTGTATTTCCAAAGAGCTGTTGGGAAGAGGATCAACATGAGAGAACGGAAGCAAGCTGGTCATGAAAGCCTCTACAGATTGCAGCATGGCTTACCTGAAAGCGACCTTTCTCACCACTAGAAAAGGAGCCAAAGTTTGGAGGTCATGCAACAGAGAATCCGTGCAAGTCAGAGAGTGCTGGATAAGCACACAAACAATGACAACATGCCCCTCCTTACCGCAGAACGCCAGCAATGCAACTGCCGCTGTGGATCCCAACTCGAAATTGAAGATCCAATATATCAGGCCCGACGGTTTCGGCTAGTTGGACCTTTAGCTCGTTCATCTTGTTCACACTGTCTCTAGCAAATCTACACAAAGTAGCAGCGTGGTCCTCCATTGCATCGGGGATTCCTGTGACGGCGACGTAACAATCACCAATCGTCTCCTAAAGGGAACAGGAAAGGGTCAGAGGATGCGAATCATCAAGGCCTTTTCCTAGACCTTTCCCAACCCCAGCCTACGTACAACTTTGAAAACGCCCCTTTTCTTCGCAATCTCGTCAATGGCCCCGTAGAAAGTCTCGAGCATGAGAAACACGTCCTCCGGGCCCCGTTGTGCAGACCAGAAAGTAAACCCAGAGAGATCCATGAACAAGATGGACGTGTGATCGTATCTACTGGCAATGGGTTTGGAGCTCTTCACTGCTGTGCTGCCGTGATAGTGGTCTTCCTGAAGGAATGAATCCAGGTTGGTTTCCTTTGCCTTTTTGTGTTGTATGGTTTCCTCGCGTTCCTGATAGAGCTGCTGAGCCACTTGTTCGGGAAACAGCGAGGTGACAATCGCGGTGGAAGCCACAGCCCGGTTGTTAACTTTTGTTTGGCGGACCCGGACACGCCAGTCGAACAGTAGAAAGATGAGGGAAGTAAAGACAAAGATTAGAGCTGTCAAGACAGCAATGATGACCGGTTTGTTGGTCGTGTGAGGGTCCTCGGTCGCCTTGGACGGATAGATGCGAACGTTGCGGGCACAGTACGTATCAGACAAAGGCAGACCAGTGTACGAGCTGCTGCCTTGAGATTTTGCCGTTTCCATCATTTCGGCGAATTGTGCTGATTGCTCCAGATAGTCGTAGGAAGGGTCGTGATGATCACCGCCACCCAGGTATATTGCTTCTGGCCCGTCCAGGCGGTAGGTGAAGGTCTCATTACAGTCTGGCGCTTCGACGACGACGACCAGCCCAATCGAGTTGTCTGGCAAAATGTTGATGAACAGCTCTCGAAAGTAAATGGTAAAGAACAAGAATCCCACCACTGTGTTATGGATCAAGTTTTCAGGACTGACATCAATGCGGACGGAATCAAACGAGTCAATGATGGGATACGTAATGGCGGTGATTGGTTCCGTGGGATCTTGATCTGGGGATACAAAGTGCTTATTCTTCTCTGCCAACTCTTCAATGTAAATTGCCATCTCGGCATCGTCCGGGTCCATGAGAATGTTGGGTGACTTTGCAATGATGACTCGTTGGGAATGGATAGACTCGAGAATGTCCGGGACGGCGTCGACACTGATCCACACATCGTAGTTGTAGGGGATAAAACTTTGTTCTTCCAAAAGAGGTGCATTCTGCCAGAGTGCGGCATAGGTGTTGTTGGAGTAAGGCAATGGATCATCGGCCACTCCCAATTCCATTTCTGCCGTGATTCCAATGAGTTCATAGCTTGCATTGTAGTTTCGCAAAGTGGCACTAAGCCATTCTTCGTTCTTGTCTTGGACTTGGATGGTCTCTTCCCTGAACAAGTACAAGTAGTTTGGAAAAGTTAGCAAGCATGTGACTGCGAGGCTGGCACCGAAGATAGAACCAACCGATATTCTCGAGATATGACTTACACCCACTGATCGTTTTCACTGGCATACTTTTGCCAGGGATCTCTTTGTTCAGGGGTCACAAAGAGAGCAGTGCCAAACTGATAGGCTCCGCTCAATTTCATGAGCTTGGCTGCTTGAACACCGAATCCCGGAACGGTGACAAACGGAAAGCTGGAGTTGGTCACGCTTTGTTGTGCTACCATTTTGGACACATAGGCATCAATAGCTCCCAAGGAGTTGTCGATGCTGCTGGCAATGCCTTCCAGAATCTTGTTGACATCGGAGTAATACTGTTTCTCAAAGTCCTCTTGTTCGTCGGCCCTGAGGAGAAAGTACAAGAGCAACGAGGTGGTCAAAGCGGCCACGACCAACACCATGAGAAGGACCAGGCGCAAATACCACACTTGGTCGCTCTCTTTCTGAGCAATCTTTTGGGCGGGCTTCTCTTCCAGAGCGGTAGCGTTGCCGAGATGCCCGCTCTCGTCATCAACGTAGTCAGAGCCACATCCTTCGCTGTCTTCAGCGCCAGAGGCACCAGCCGATCTGGTAGGTAGCTCATCATGGTAATCTTTCGTCGTCGTCATCGTATCGTTGGTATGTATGGGGAAGGAAAGAGCAAACAACTGTTGTGGGTTGTGCGGTTTCAAGGTCAAGGAGGTTGAAAAAAGAGATTGTGACCTTCTCTTTTGCTGATTCAGTTCTTACCATCGAAGACTCCAACGACAATCAACACCAATGACTGCATTGCTCCTCGATCCTACATTGAATTAAAGCCTTATACCCCCCACAACAGAAACGTCAATTAATGATTTAACATGATTCCACCATGTAGTCTTTTTGTTCTAGAAAAGCGAAAGAGAACTGTTCGCAACTTGTACCGGTAGCCCGCAGTCGCGGCATCCAGCTGTGTTTGATCGAATCGAATCACTTCGCTGGCCTGCATCCTGCATCTCCTAATCCCATTCACCTTTCACCAAAGCCGCAGCTGCTGCTGTTCATGTGTGCTACCAGGTACAAACTTGCTCCTTGTCGTGTTGTTCGCAACCTCCACTATAATAGCACACAAAAGTCTGCACCAGAAAAGCTATGAAGCAAGAACACGAAGTTGTTCCACTGTAGATAGATTCTGGAGGGCATTGCATTGGCCAACCAATTTGCACCGTTCTAGCAAGGTTAATTGATGGTTGGCTTTATCAGTGCTGCAAACGCGAGAGCAGTTCCCGGGAGGGGCTGAACACACTGTCAAGAAGCAGCACCTCGGCTCTTGGCTGCACGTGCATGCTTGTTCATGATATCAGCAAGGGCATGACGGCCATTCAATAGTGCTGTATCTATTAGTGTGTGCCCCACCTGCCACCGTAATCCAAACGATAGCACCAAGTAGTACACGTGCACATCATCTGAAGAATCCCCATAAGTGTCAGCAATTCGAACATCCCAATTGACCCTAGGGTCCACTACTGCTTCCTCCAGTAGCGCCATGTTCCCCGTTCGAATGGACTCCAGTATGTCCCACTCCCATTTCCGTATTCTAGGCCCACTCGATCGAGTGGCAGACCCTGCCCCCTGCACCACCTTCAAACGAGTCTTGTTTTTGTTCATTTTGCTTCCCGAGAACCACACATAGCAGGCAATAGCTGACGCTGCTTGCTTCTTGCCATTGAGCATTGCAGTCTGCAGTAAGGTATCACCCACACGCCACTGCAATCGATCAAACGACATGACCAAATAGTAAAGATGCCTCTGATCACGGGGGTCGCCGTAGGTCTCTCCCACTCGGACATCCCATTCAACCAACTCATGTTGAGCGGCCTGATGGATCATATCGGGATCATCCAATCGAATGGCTTCCAATATTTGCCATTCCCAGGGTCGAATCAGCGGCCATTCTTCGCGCGTAGCCAGGATGCCTTGGATATACTGCAAAATGACACGTGCAATCATATCCCATCCACATGTTTGTTCAATAATCATCGAGATCCTGGCCATGTCCCGAGGATCGTGGCAAACCGCTTTGCGAGGGTCCAGAGTGCGACTGGCTTTATACGTCCAAAAACCTAACAATCGGACTTCAACGTTGCATTGAATGGCTTGATAGAGCTCCAACACACACCAGAGCCGTTCGTACACAAGTGCTCTAGGGGTCTGAACTACCAACATGAGGTTGGCCCGCCTTACCACTTGGGCAAATGGTCCATTTAGCACGTTTTCACCCAGTTGTTCTTCAATGGTAGGTCCTGGACCAATCCCCGCTTCTGTCTTTTGGAGCATGGCCAAGGAGCAGATCCAGAGTCCTTGATCTGCAATCTTGCTCGACACGGCAGTCAAAGCGTCCACAAATTCGCCAAAGTACTCTTCCCAGCTATGAGAAACCATGATGGTTGCCAGGATGGGAGCGTCTTGGTTCCTCCATAACGCATAGCCTACGCCATACGGCAAGGTCTTGGGTTGAATGAAATCCCGTACCACTTGTCTCATGGTTTGCTTCTCGGGGTCCCTTTGAAGAATTTGTTTATAAAAGTCGCTCAACTCATTTCGCAGTTCCCACAATTGCGCCAAACTGATGCCCCAGTATTCAGCGCTTAGACCATTTTGGAGAGACATTGGGGAGACGCCAGCATTGGCGAGGAACAGAACGCTACTACTACTACATGTACATGTAGCTATCTATCACACGAAGCAAGAACAACAACAAGACAAAAGCGTTGCCGTTCTGCCAAGACGTTGTCATCATGGTGGCGATCGTGCTTTTGGGAGTGAGATGAAAGTCAGTCCCGCAAGTCCGCGACTTATCCACATTTTTTGCATTTATTTTGCCTTCTGAAAATCCAGACTCGACTCGACTCACTCTCACTTGTTGAGGCATTGGTGCCAGTACTGTACTATTGGGGGCCTTCCAGTCTACCGGTAGGGAATTGGTCTACGGAAGTATTTGGTTGGTCTGAGACGTCATAGCTGCATTGATTTCTCAACAACGCTGTTGAAACCAGAAGAAGTCGAGTGCTATCATATCTTTGAGCTCAGATCTCCACTCCACAAACCGTAACGGAGGAGACAACTGTCTGGTGTTGCCGGTGTCACTGCAAAGCACAGGAAGCATAGCAACAATCCAAATTAGCCGCCGGAAGGACAAAGTGAAGGCCTGGTCCAGAAGGAACCTTGAAGCCACTCGCATCCCATCACACCAGGCCATGCAGTTTCAAGCTCAATTGCTGGTACTGTGTATCTCCCATTGAGCCTATTGGGGGGGGGGGTGATCCATCATGCATCTTTGCTTGCTTGTCACCCACTACCACATACTGATTCCAGATCTACGGACCAGCAGCAACTACTGTTCTAACTTTCTCGCAACTGTGTTGGTAGCAAAGAACGAAGCATTATTAGTGACATACTCTCAAGCTTGTTATCGTCTGCATTGCTACCGTACTCCTTGCGGAGAGAGAAATCCGATGCAGAGCATTCTTCCTGCCATGCAACGTATCATCTTCGTCAATCTTTATCAATAGTACCAGGTACCGGTACTAAGAGTCTTGCTTTTTCTCGTCGTCGTCCACCAACTGTTGAAACATGACGAGAGCATCCAAGTAGTCGCCATTGTATCGAAAGGCCTTGGGCAATCGGCCAACTTCCTCAAACCCGAACTTCTTCCAGAGTCGAATGGCTCCAGTATTGGTGGATACCACAAAATTGTACTGCATCGCTCGAAACCCTCTTTTTGGAGCTTCTTGCAAGGAATGTTCGCAAAGGCGTGACGCCACACCTTGACCTCGAGCACTTTCTGCCGTAACGTATCCACAGTTGCACACGTGATTTCCAAACCCAGGTTGATTAGGTTTGATGTAGTATGTTCCAAGCAGAGCACCGCCATCATTGGTAGCGACAAAGGTTGCCTGTGGAGTCTCGATCCACATCTTGTATGCCTGCTCTTCCGTCACATCCGTCGGAACTGTGTAGGTGTCGCCAGCCCGAAACACAGGCTCCAACATCTGCCGCCAAAGGAGTTCCCAGTCCTTGTCATGGTCAAATAGGCGTATGGATATCATTGTCATTGACTCGATCGTCGATCTGACTGAATTGAACAGTATCGAAGGTGAAAATGGCGGTAATTTGTTAGAGAGTTTTATGCAACCATGCCCTGAATGAACCAAGGGAGATTACAATGGAGAACCATGCAAGATAGCAGACGAGAAAGAATAGGATAGCAGATACACGCACGGTAAGGTTACATATAATCAGGAAGTAGGACAACTTGCTTGGACGCCAATTAATTGACAAGCTGAGACCACTTCAGGATTTGAGGACCGCTTCGGATCTCTGAAAGTCCTTCTTGAGCTTCTTCAGATTTCAGTGGATCAAAAGGCCTGCTCTGATGGCTTTTACACAACCGTGGAAATGCAACGAGGAAAGTACATCACGCTCGTCTTTCACACACCGCGCCCCTCTACCGGTACCGCCTTCTTCATCACTGATACTAGTATGATGGATAAACAAACAAGCTAACCACTATAATTGTTCCGGAGGAGGTTATCCATGTGTATACATATCCCAAACGAGAATCTTGGCTCTCTAACCCGTCGAATGAAGAGTTGAATTGCCGTCGTAGCGTCTCCGAGCCCGACGCATCAATCGTGGCGACGATACCATGAGAGAGGGCAAAGAAGTTTGATCACAAAATGACACAATGAAGAGATAGACATAAAAAATGAATCATGTGAAAGCTCTCTTAATTGAAAGTGGAGTCGTTGCGTGAAGGGATGAAATTGCGGAAGACTCCCCAAGCAAGGAGGCGACCATCAGTCGAGTTCATCACTTGCAGCTTCCTATGGCGTACTTCTGAAACATTCTTTGAAACCAAAACTTTCCAGTTGCTTTGACATCAGAGTAATATAGCACCATGGTCCGTTTCATTCCTTCAATACGACGCTTAATGGCTATGGCAATAGCATTCTCGCTCTGTTCCGACAACGGAATGCTAGCCAGAGCGCAAACGAACACTACTACGGACAAACAGTCAACTCGACTTTCCCTCGCGGCGTCCAATCCTTTCCGAATGATTGTTCGACCAACATTGTTTGAATTGGACTTTGTGGCATTATCCATTGTGGAGGAGGCGATGACCAAAGCGATTCTTCTTTCAACGGGCTCCTCCCTCGTTGACGTGAGTATCAACATCAATCAAATGAATTGGCTGTCGTCGTCAGATGATGATGACAGTAACGAACTTATCGATGGAACCGTCAAAACACTTGGAACCGAACGTGTACCTACAACAGTTTTGAAGTTCTTCGCTGTGGGGACATTCCTTTTGAAGCCAGCCTCGGACTCGACCAATCCGGCCGGTTCTTTGGCATTGGTGCAAGCTCTTGACGAAATCATCGAGTCGGCATTCAAACAGGAGAACTATGTTGCCTTTATCGAGCTCTTAAGGAACTCCGGGGACCCATTACTTGATGGGGTGCAAGATGTTGCTGCAATTCGGACAGACAGCAACATACCGTTGCCCGAACCGTCCCCGACATTCGGAGCCTCTGATGATGATTCTGCTGGTGACGATGGCGCAGCTTTGACAACATTGGATATCGTCTTGATCTCCGTTAGCGCTTCTATCTTTCTCGGGATAGTCTACATGATCTTTCAGCACCACAAGGATAGGGGCTACATCGAGAATCAGCGAATCCAAAACCTAAACACATACGACCGCCGCAACAACCCTGCAAGCGACTCTAGCTACGCACCTTCCCCTCATGACGACGATCATCGCAATGCCGGTACGGACAGGGCTGACCATAGCATCAGGAGTGCTGACACTTCCAAGACATCTGTCATCAACAATCGTCAACCCACTCCGCGCGCGGAAGATCCATCCCACGATTCCTCATTGTTTACTACGAGCCGTGGATCGGAGGATCACAGCTTTGTGACGAACTTTAGCATTCCACCAAGTCCAACCGACATCAACACGCATCTCAATTCCAGGAAGAGTCGCTTCAGTTCCAAGGTCAGGATCAGCGTTGAGTCTGTTCAGTGCGACTCCAGGAGCCTACCGACACCGACGAGGAAAGCCATGACATCCACCTCTTCGGTGCAGTCTCAGGAGGATGAATGCAAGTCGACTGGAGCGTTATCCATCACTGCCTTTTCCACTGTCCTGTCATCTGATTTTGGCCCCATCAACTGGTTCCGCAAGTCCGGGTCGAAGGGGCCAGCCACCCTCCTATCTGCAACCGATGACAACATTGAGGAAGTTGTAGAAGAAGGGGGCAGCAGCGGAAGTAGTAGGAACACAACTACAAGCAGCAGTAGCAGTTGCAGCAGCAGCAGTAGTGAGGATGTGTTCCATGTTGGCGGTGTCAAGGCCAACGTGATAGCAACAGGTAGTGTTGCCAACGCAAGCGACACGGTGAGCAGCAAAGCCAGTTCTTCCGTGGTGACCGAATGGATGAGGACAATTCAGGTGATATCCTCAACTGACTCCAAGTCTGAGTCGGAGGTCACCTGCAAGGCTTCATCATCAGAACAGTCGTCCACTGCAGAGAACTCCTCTGCAGAAGCACCGTCAGTTGGAGATGATGAAGCAAGCGATATTGTCTCCCTCGAGCACTCTATGGCAAATTCAAGAGGAGGTGTGGCGGCTGGTTCAGAAGCCGATTTAACGATGGAGTTTTAGCAGGTACTGTATCCCAAAGCTCTCACATCTGCCTGTGCCTCGTCACTCATCACATCTCTCATCAACCATCCTCCGAAGATCCAATTCAACACGAAACAATAGATGTCATAACTTACTATTAGGACCTGACCTTATCAATGTAGGTGATGCACTTCTTGCCTGTGCTGCCCCCGATGGTTACCGATACTACCTAGCTAGCTCTAGCTATAGGTAGGCCTAGCTAGACTCTGGCTGCTACCGGTACAGTACCCCGCGAACGGGTACATGAACAGTCAACTCTCAATTTTAAAAATCAGAAAACCTCCAATCAGACTCTCTGTTACGTGAACATCATCACGTATTTGAATTCATATGCCCCCTGGGTCGTCTCCGTTTCCAGTACTAGTTTAACTTGTCTACTAATACAGGATAATGGTGAATAGAATCGAATGAATCATGTGGCTTATATTTAGGGTTTAGGTTTTGCAATTTTGAAGTCAACGTGTGTTAGTGGAGGGTTGGCTCGCTTCCGCTGGTGCTGGGTGTCTTCTTTCTTCCTCCTGTTCTCCCGGCTCAATTCGTTCGGAACTGGGTATTCGGTAATAGGATCGTGAGCAAGTTACGGCAGCTTTCTTCATACCTTGTGGAGTGTATCTTCTGACTATTCGCTGGTGATACTTTGGCCGACGTGGTTCGTGGAACAAGGTGGACGGGAGATGACGGTATTTGGTTGCATTGGGAACTGGGAATCGTTTTGCGAATAATAATTGGACAGGTCCAGTATTGAGGATTGAAAGTGAGGGCACCGGGGGATTATACGGGAGCACTGTAAGGGAGACTTACCACCGTTTTCCTGCTGGTGCTTTTAAGAAGAGTCCAAAGAAGGCCTCAAAGTTCATGCGGGGGGTAGTCAAAACCATGGGGAAGGGCAGTGTGGCAGCTTGAAGGCGAACTGGTGGAGTAGAGTGTGGGGGGGGGTGGTGTGCGTGCGTAGTGCTTGTAATAATGTTGCGAGGGCACCAGTGATGGCCCGCATGCGACCGAAGTCCGATGCATCCAAGGTTTGTTTCGGTGAATCAACGGACGTAAGACGTGAAGCCGGGAGTTGACCACGAGGCCAAATAGAGTACACATGGCCTTGTCGTCCTTGAGGAATTCGGATACGGTGCGGTAATCGCCTTGATCGATCCAAGAATCCGTCACAGGTGAGTCATGATGTCGGAGTGGGTGGCAGCTCACTCCAGGTGTCATGGACCTTGACCACTTGTCCTGTTCGTCGAGAACTAGGTAGGGTTCATCCTTCTTTGCGGGTCGTACACGTATTGCATGTAGGCGGTTTAAAGGTTTCATTGAACATCTCTTCT